AGGAGCTCTGCCTGTGCCAGGCTTCTGGGACCTGTAAGAAAAAGAGCTGAAGAGGAGGCCTCTGCAGCCTTCTTCTTCAAGAGTTCCAGATCCGCCTGGACTCTGCCAGACTCTGCCAGAACCCGGCAGATCGCAGATCCGAGACCCGAGCCCTCCATGCGTGAAGATCGCGGCGCTCGGTATCCAGGCGCTCCTCACAACATCACCAAGCCGACCAAGCCCACTGTGCCCCCTCTAAGCTCTGAGCTCCTCCACCACACCTTGGAGCCTCTGATGCTCCTGCACCAAATGGAGACCCTACGTCTCACTGCTTGGCTGTCCTGGAATCCAGGGCCTGGAAGGTCCTGTCGACTTTCGAGGCCAGCCCCTTCAAGAGTTCTCAAAGACATCGAAGCACTCGAAGGTCCACAGACATGGAACAAACCAGCGTGGCATATCCTGTAATTAGCTTAGCCGTGCGTGCCTCCGCTTGTCTCTCCACTTGGCCAAGGCGCGTGTGCAGAGGCTCCAGGCGCGCCTGGTCACCCAGCATTGCTTCGCTTCTGACACTAAGAAATGCCGAGGATGCCCCGAAGCTCGAGCTGAGAGCCACATTTAATGACCCGCAGCTGTCAAAGCATCCAGGCTGCGATGGGGTCATTCCGGGACACATCAAGCCCTCGGGCGATGATACACGAGTGGGACAAAGCTGTGAGATCATGATCCACGATGAGAGCGTAAAGCAATAGCGCAGAACGACTAGGCAAGTAGTCTTAAAGTAATAATTACAGCAAAATCTCTGACCAATTCAGACGCAAAAGCATGTCAGCAGTGAGAACTTGTGCAAAACATGTTGTCCAACTTCTTTTCTCCTGGCTGCGAACTGCTACCATCTCCAAGGATACAGGCTTGGTGGGATTTATTCAATAAGACCCGTAGCAATTTGGCTTGTAAGGGGCCTTTGGGGCCTCCACACTATTGTGTTGAAGCTCACATGTTCTCCGCAAGCAATCACAAGCAATTACCCTCACAACAAAGCACACATGTTCTATCTTCATATGCAAACACACATGTGCGACCATGGGATGTAGTATTGCACCTGTTCTGTGTTGTTAGGACTACAGCCTTCGCAAGCAGGCATAATATGCGCTACATCCTCTGGTGTCGCAATTGTTTTGCGTTGTTGGTACTACCGCTTTGGTATTATTGCCAAAGCTTTTGCTTTGTTATGAATGCTGATCCTTCCTTCTCGCGCTCTGGTTGTGACTTCTGACTTCGAGCCACCTCCTTTAGTCTGGCCTGTCGGACCTTATTGGGCTCACAGAAGATCAAAGCTGCATCCATGTCTCAACCACAGGCGATGGAAAAAGCCCGCTGGCAAAAAACATGGGCCACACAAAAGCAGGGCGGAAAGACATATAGCCTCCATGTTGGCAACTTGAGTTTCGCCCTGGGCCTCAGCACCCACTCAAAAAACAGCCAACGCCAGGCAATAAGCACTGTTGAGACGCGAGTCACGCCAAGTTTCGGGCTTTGCGCGACTCGCGTTCGCGTTCCACTGAAAAGTGGATGGAATCGCGTGCCTGCTTGGCAAGTGCAAAGCCCTGCTCCATCGACTCCTGGCAGCGATTGACCAACTCAACTCAAAAGAATCACTCTTTTTGCTTCCCATCCTTGAGCTCGCAAACCTTGCGGTCAACCAAGGTCTCCAAGCAATGCCTGTGGCTTTGCAGCTTTTCCTCGATGTCCTCAGCTCTCACCCAACGCTATGCAGTGCTTCAGCACCCGTATGTCGCAGATCAACATACTGACATTTTACTGAGATTGCCGGCCTTGTCGCAGAGATCCTTGAAAGCTGCCAACCTGATGGTGCAGCTTTGACAAGTTTGCGAGATCTGCACTGTGGCGCGGCCTCCTCTCCACCACGTCCTGGCACTTAGCAAGTGCATGCAAGCATGCATGGCAAGCATGCAAGAAGAGAATCTCACTTCCAGCTACCGCTTCCGCTTTCGGCTTCTCCTTCTCGCTGCGCAAGGCCACGGCCAGCTCAGCGACGTCACCCGAAAGCTTCCCCACCGCTCCCTGAGCTGAAGCCCGTGAACCGCGAAACCCGCTTCTAAAGATGGTGTTCGCTTCGTGCGTGCACCGCGGGGCCCTGGCGCTGCGTGCCGTCTTCTCGCCATCCACGAGGTCTCTCAGAGATCGGAATTTGGAGTCGAGGGCATCTGCCGCCTTCCGGCTGAGCTCTCAGAGATGAAGCCACGATCACGCACGAAGCATCCTTCCTTCTCTCCAAAGCCGGCGGCCTTCTCTTGGTTGGCCTCCAAGGCAGCGAAGCGGCCGAGGTCGGCCCGCCGCTCCACGGCCACCCGCTCCTCCGCCTGCCGCCGCTCGGAGCGCTCCTCAAGCAAACCACAATCCACAAACCGCTTCAACGTTTTCCAAAACTGTATTTTTCACAAAAATGAGACCTCTCTCTTGCAACCTGAGACCTCTCAGAGGCCCACCGCATCTACCAGACCGCGAACGTTGGCAACCATCGTTGCTAGTTCCTCAAGGCCGCAAGATACGGCGCTCCCAAAAGCTTGCAAAACAACTGAGCCTCATCCATGCTGCTGCGCAGGTCAGCTTCTCTGCTACTGCCTTCTCGCACCTTGCAGCTTCTCTCATGAAGCACATGCAGCTGATTCCATGGCGGCCTCCTGAATTGCCAACCATAGTGCATCTTCTGCATCCTGATGTCAGAGTATGCAAGATTGAAGAGGGTGCTGAAGAAGGGGACGAAGTTACATCTCCTGGCCTTCCGCTTCTTTGTAGCCTGCTCGAAATCCTTGCAAGTTTCAGCCACGATCCACTGGAAAAGAAAAAGCAGCATGCTTTTCTCTGCAGGTGGACCCGCGGCTAAGATTTCACAAATGCTGGGAAGCACTCAAGATACTCAAGTGCTGTCCTGGTAGAACATCTCCAAGCGGTTCTCCAAGGCGGCCAGGATGTCCTCAAGTTTGCGGACACGTCCGTCCTGCCAAACACATAGGATTGTCAGCGGGACTCTAGTTTGCTATACGCCTCTACGGAACTTCTGCGCCATTTTGTGCCATCTGAACAAGGTTGAACCACATGCCCATGTCAGCACTCCGTGTGGAATTGGTGGGCGGCATGAGCGTCGGAGGTCTGCTGAACGTGCTGAAGCCTGACCAAAGATGTGAACAAGCACCCAAATTCACTGACATCAACACGAAAAAAGATCGCAACCTTGATACAACGTCACAACTCTGTCCTTCAACGATTCACGCCCTTTGTATGGAAGGAAGCCAGGGCTTCTGAATCCCAAATCTTCGGCCCTGCTTCTGAAGATAGTGCCAAGACCATACTACACTGACGTCACATAAAGGAACGCCTGCAGCGTGCATCCTCCTCTCTCACCAGCCGCTGTCGACGCTCCGTGTCCAGGTCGAGCTTCACGGCCTCAACCTTTGAATTCCCACCGCTTGGAGCCGCTTGTCATGCGTCTGGCGCCCTCCGCCCGGCCTTGTCGCTGATGCCAGCGAAGCTGGAGTCCAACAGTCTGGCACCAATTCTGAGGTTTAATGGTTGACGCATCTGTGCAACAAGATCCTGACCTGGAGGTGTCCACTGTGGAGATGGACACACTCGTCATTCCACCCCTACAACGCAGCTCGTCCCAAAAAAAGTCTGAACACAAAGACTCTAAGTGCCCTGCCCTCGAGGCACCTCTAAATCAGATGCTTGGGTTGGAGCTTCACGCAAAACGGCTTGCAAAACACCCAAAAAACCTGTGCCTTGAAGTCGCGCTGCAAGCTTTTGAGCTCGGAGCGCATGTGGTCAATGTCCTTGCAACTGCTCCCTGCGAGGCGAGGGAGTCAAAAAGCTGAGCAACTCAGCAACTCAACTCCTCCGTCAGTGAGCTGATCTCCAGGTGCGCTCTCCCCAGCCGGTGGCTTCCGCTCACCTTCCAAGACGCGCACGAGGCAGAGGCTCTGACTTCTGAAACGGGAACACCCACCTCCACATCTCTCGTGGCCTAGGGACTCCGTGCTGTAGCGTCACCATAAGGTCTGCATTCTGGGCTGCCGGCAACGGGGGAGACGTGCAACCTCCTGGCAAGCGGAGAATAAACTGAACAAGTAGCATCTGCCTGCTACAGTACCGTGTCATACAACTTGCAACGCACAAAAGCTCACAAGCCAGTGCCTTCTTTCAATGGGTAGATGTACTGGACTTGTCACTCTCACCTTGTCCAGAGTAAAGAAGGAAACTGCTTGGCAGTCCATGCAAGAGACGATATGAGCATGCACCCCACGCAGTCAACTCCCATGCGTGGCGCGGCACGCAGCGTCGGCTTATGTTGAAGGACCAATATGCAAGTTCCTCTATCAGGCATGGCCACTCCACCCGGTGACAGGTCTTGCTGACACGCGATGATGGTCAGCAGGTGCAATGCAGAATGAGTAAAGAATTTCAAGCCTTTCATGGATCAGGGCTCGCTTGACTCGATGCCCATGAAGGAACCGCCACTGCTGGACAACTCTGGGAGCTCGACATGTGCACTTGGAGACAAGATCTCCACCACATCCGCACACATGCTTCAGGCCTTCTGGCCTTCAATCCCAGGCAAGGGGTGTGGCCTATGTCTGTGAGCCAAGCTGATAGCGGCAACTGGTTTTGGTCAAGCTGCCTGGGCTTCTTGGTGGATGCTCTGCATTTGCGTGCTACTTTTTGGCTCTCTGCACAGAAACTGGAGTTCAGCGCTGATCCAGGCCTGTCAGAAGCAGATGCTTCGAAGGGATTCAAAAGCTTCACAACATGTCACTCCAGCAGGTGTGACCATGTCACAGGAATCTAGCTGAAATCACGTATTGTATCTAATTTGTCTTTGTTCGGGCTTTCGGGATTTTCTTTTCGCTGGGAGTGACCCACTGCAACAGTTGATCGTACTCGATCAAAATCCAACTCTGACGTGGAATACTGCACTGCTCAAGAAAACGTCAGTAGTCCATAGTCTATGTATGTGAACAGCTCACCCTCGTCCAAAGGCCTAGCATGCGTGCACTCGCAAGTGACATGCCTGTAGCATATCGTTCGATGTCCCCCAGCTCGTCTTCCACAAACTGGCCCACCTTGCAAGCCATCCATGGCGAATACACCACAAAATTAAGGTAGCTAACGACGAAAAAAAAGCATGATGTAAATGTTCGTCAACACCCCTGCATTCAATTTGAAGTTTAGGGCTTCAGGCCATCTTTGCTTCCCTCTTCATGGCATTGCTGATGGAGCCGTAGAAGATGCCAGCACCAGAGATGATCGACGCCTCAGTGTCACCCAGATGCGTTGCGGGTCGTGGGCTGCTACTCGAAATTGGGGCTCCTCAACGTCAAGCCATTTGTCAGCCCCGTCATACTGCTTCAGAAAAGGAGGACAATCATCGGCAACAGCCCTGGAAATGTCGCTTAGAGCAAAGATGCCCGAAAGAAATGCTCACTCGAGAAATCGACTAAGTCAAGTATCAAAGTCTCGTCAAACAAAATGTGTCCTGGTCGCAAAATGATTCAACATCGATCTACAAAGTAGCACCAAAGCAGAAACCAGTCGCTGCTGCAGCTAGTGCATAAACAAAGCTTGCTAAAAACCATGCCCTGCGCTATAGTTCAAGCCCTAGAGCGCTTCAGCACAGGGATTCCGGGGATGTTGCCGTAGCGTCAAGACTCGGGCCAATGACTTCCGGAAGGTCTGCCTGCCTCATCAAGCATGTTTCTTGTTTTCTTTGGCCTAGTGGACATGCTAGGTCCACTGGGCTGGCAGCCAGCCAGACATTCGCAGCTGCGGTCTCTTTCCCTCAGCCATGTCCAGCAGACTTGCGATGGCCTCAAAATCCCGAATCATACCCTCTTGCACACATCGTCATGCTGCCTCCCTGTTGCTCAGTTCGCCACGTCCGCTGCTCCGCTGCCCTCTACATCCTTCCCAAAAACAACTTCTCTAGGATGAGAGACCTCTGGGGAAACACAAGCAAAAGTGGGACCTCACACCAGCTCCACACGATGTAAATGAAGTATAGGAAGACCACTGTCACTGCCTTGGCGCCACAAAGTTCCCGACATCCAAGCATCACATTTTCGCCGAGCCACCACGGCACTCGCCGTGCTCACGCTCCGAGCCACACCGCAGGCGAAAGCTTGTCCCTGCGCCTTTCGAACGTGCTGAGGCTGAGTTGTCTTCTTTGATGCTTGCGACCTTTGCCGTGCATCTGTGCACCCAGCAGCTTCAATGACCAGGTGAACGCAGGAGTCGCGCAGTAGGAAAATGTCGACGACGTAGTACTGCGCACGCACGACACTGCTCTACGTCAAGACTCGCGCCTGCTGGGCGACAGGCCATGTCAATTAAGAAGCAGAGGACTAAGTAGTACCAGTAAAGCCGAACCTGGCATCCAAGCATTCACGTCCAACAAGACAGTGAAAACAGGGGAGCGCTGCGTGCGATTCTAGCCGGTGGTAGACTCCCCAGAGCCCAGCCGTGATGATTGGGACCTGAATGTTCGGAAGCTGCCATCCAGGAAAGACTGTGCTGCTGGGCACCGCGCTCCGATCAGAGACCTCTCAACTCTAAGCAGTTTTCAGCTCTGAGAAGAAATCCTTCTGAGCCTCATGGAACAAACTTCAATTGCTTTGGCCGGCACCAAATGGTCTCGAACATCTGGGATGTTCCGCTTGCTCCTGTACAGCGTGGGTCTAAGTGCCAAGTACCATTCTTACACCCCTCAGAGACTGGACCGCAGAGACTGCAGCTCCCGTGTCGCCAGCGATGAGGTTCTCCGCGGCCTGGTGGCAAAGACGCTCCCAGTGAGCAGTTTGAACTCCCGTGCTGGGCTTCGCTGGACTTTGCTGGGCTTAGGGCAGCAGCAACAGTGTAGAGCGTGAGCGCTTGGTGTGGCCACATCAGGAGCTTGACTCCCACCCCCAGCGGCAGGCAGCAGAGAAAGGTCTCTGCCGGATCAACCAGCTTCGGGAAACAAAACAGATCCATGGTCCTGGCATACGACATACGATTGATGCACCACGGCTGCCATGGATGCCCTGCGGCGTCCTTGCTCAGATTGGTGTCCGAGCTCAATTTCACTATCGGGACATATGGCGGAGACCGCCTGAGTTCGAACAGGAGGTTTGCTTCAGAGCTGCAGGAAAAACGTGAGCCTGTCGGAATCAGCCCGTATGTCAGCACAAGATTGAGGAAAAAATGGCACGGCAGCTTTGTGTCTTCCAGTTGACTGGGCGTGAATGCATCACACTGCCTTGCCAGCTGGTTTGCAAAAGCCCTTTCTCCTCTGCAGCCGCCACTGCTTGAGACGCTGCACCCTGGGACTTCCTCAAAGCCACGCAGGGCATGGCAGCCAAAACAGCTTATGTCCTCAGAGTAGCGGCACTCCTGTATCAAGAGATTGCACAACCTTGCGCAGTGCGCAACAAGCGGCATCACCACAGGAAGACCCCGAAAGAATTACTTCAACAGACACCAAAGCAGCAACAACAAAACGACTATCATCTCACTTCACCATATCAAATCTTCTCAACCTAGAATTGACCGCCCAGAACTCTGGGCGGGAGGACACCGTGGAAGCTGTGAGCACAGCGACGCACGGGATGCCGAGGGGCGCTCGGCAAAGACAACTCTGCAAGACTGAACTGGCTTCTTGGCTTTGGCTTGGGCTTTAGCTGGGCTGCTTGTGCGTGTGGGGTCGAGCGCCTCCACTGCCGTTGGTTGCAAATGACACTTTGGCCGTGGCAAGCGATCACAGCGTGTGCGTCGGCCGCAGGGCACGACACGCACGGGAAAACTATGCATTCCGGAAGCATCACCCGCACACTGTCTCATCAAGATCTGCTGCGCTGTAAGGACGCTTGCGTGGTTAGGTTTTCTGCCAACAGACCGAGGATGGCGGAGTGATGCAAGGATTCCGAAGCCGCCATACCTCACTTTAAATGCTGTACAATGCTGGATACATGAGTCAAAGAGCTTTGCAAGGAGGTGTGGAAAGCTTTGGTCCAGGGCAGCCTTTAGCTCGGCCCGTCACTCCATATTCAAAAGCGTGACTCCAACCTTCCTAACTCTAAGTAACAGCACTGCATGTCCTACGTCCTGCTACGGCCTGCTTACCTGTTGAAAAGACTTCTCTCTACAGTTGGAAGTGTGGTTCCACGCATCGAATTGTACACAGCGGCGTGCACCTCTCAGCATGCACAGCCCTTGAAAGCCCACGAGGCTATCGAGTACAACGTACAAGTGCACTAGTGTGTGCGAGTGTGTGTGAGTGCGTGCATGTTTGATACAAGGACAGCTACTTAACACCTGGCATTCGTTGCATCAGGGAGCTGCGCTCTTCTGCTTCCAATGCTGCACAGCCGCACAGCTCTACTACTGGGCCTTCCTCTGCGAATTCGAGGCAGAAACATTTTAAGGTGTACCTTGCACTCACAAACTTTAGGAAACCCTCAAAAAGCGCCTGAGTCTGTCCACAGGGACTCCAATGTGGAGCGCCACTCTCCTGAGGCAATCCGGTCGGTCCGGTCGCAGGAGTCGCCTCAACCCTAATGTCTAACTTTCCTTCTTCTGCTCGCTAGGCTGCTAGGATTGCTGGGCCACTTCAAACCGGGGCAGTCTCAGCAGCGCCAGAGCTGAAATCAAGTGGCGGCATACTCACCGAGGGGCTCGGTATCCAACCATCCATTTTGGCGGCTGGTACTTGCCTTCGGTGGGGTCATTGCTGGTTGCAGTCAACGTCTTCGTCCTCACAGGGCCTCAGAAGCGAGCATGCGTCAGAGAGGTAGTGCGTGAAGAAGCTAGCTGTCAAGGCTCAAGCGCAGCTTTTGCGTCTGTTAGCCCTGGCTGCAAAGGGGCAGTAGAGGACCTGGCAAAATGATCGCGTCATTGGGCTGTCAGAATCCTCTGCAACTACGTATCTCACGCATACCTGAGCTTTCCCTTAGTTTTCTATGGGCCATTTCCTTTCCCTTCCGTTCCAAAATACCCTCCCCCAGACACTCCACAAGGCTGCCCAAGGTTCCTCCACAAAGGCAAGGCTACACGAGCACGGCACTCACAACAGAGGCTCATGTCAGTCTGATGCATGGAGCTAGCTATACAGGAACTTGTCCAGAGCCGTATTCTGCTTCCGGAGGCTCCTGTGTTCAGACTTTGAATTGCTTATGACCAAGATGATTAAGCTGCTGTTATGAGTCTCGAGAAACTGTACGCCCCAACCCGCACAGCAGCAGCATGGAGATTCTGTACATGCAATGAGGTTTCTGTGAGCTAGTGTCCTCCTGTTTTGGTACCTGGTATGATACAGTCCGACCCTGCAGTCATAACAATTGCAGCTCGGAACAGGTTCCCCATTGAAACGCGCGGTACGACTCATTCCGCGGAAGTCGGAACATTTTCCTGTTTCCGCAGTTAAACGAGTGGATTCAGGCATGTAAACCAACGATGCGAACAGTCCTGCTTGCTGGAGTGCAGCAGCAGAAGTCATAACAATTGCCTTCTTTCCCAGTGAAACGCTGGCGCTAGGGCAAACTAATAAAAATGCTTTCGGCGAGATTATACATCGCTGGATGCAAATCCCCAAGCAGACGCTGTGTTTTGAAGAGCCAGAGAGGATATGCGCCAGACGCCAACGTTTACATTACGTTTCATATGCACGTTGGCTCATCAGCAAAGCCCCAAGGAAACGCTGTGCTTTGAATAGCCGAAAATTCATCAGGTCGCCGGGAACGGCCGTTCCAGTACTTAAGTTGCACTACCAGCTTCAACTGTACGAGAATCTGATATGAACAAGTGTGAGCGTGTAAACTCAATTTTTGGATGACACTAAAGAATCTGCAGTCGCCAGTGAGAACGCTGATCATGACAACTTCCGGTTTTCTACTTCCCGAGCGTGGGCAAGCAAAACAGGAAAATTGTTAAGACTTCAGGGTCTGACTGTACGGCAACTGCCGTTCGAGGAACTCGAGAGGGACCCCACTCTGGAGACTTCAACAGATGGTGACCCCGAGGAAAAGCCAAAAAACTCTTGGAATATGATAGTTTCTGCTGGGTTCTAGCAACAGCCGGAGAGAGCATAGCATTGGGTCTAGGGTACAGGTCCCGGATGTCAAGCGTCGGCGGTGGCATTGAGGCGAACGGTGGCTCCGACGCCCGCGATCTATCTCTGCTGTGCTAGACTATACTAGATTTGACTGGACTAGACTATACAGGTCTGCAAATCCATGTAGCTATTTCTCAACACCTGGTTTCGTGCTTTTCTCACACACACACACACACACCCGCATTTCAGCCAGACTGAAGGATTAAAATCTGCATTTCCAGAGTCTCAGCATCTTCAGGGTTGCGAGGGTGATGTCAAGGTGACAAGCAGTCCACTTGTGAGCAAAGATCTTTTTGCTGGGCGACAAGATGCACATCACAGATTGACGGTAACCAACAGCTACACAGTGAGTGCCTGCCTAGGCACTTCAAGCATAAATCCTTTTAGCAATCCATGGACCAGGCCATACTATACGTATCTTATCTGGATGCTTTTGTTGGTCTGCTTGGCTGGATCGCGTGGCACAGCGCAAGAACCCTCTGTCCTCGTTCTATCTGGAACATGAAACAACTTCTGAGAAACCGTGAAAATATTCTGAGGCGGAAGTGCAAAAGTTGGTGGTCAATGATGGTAAGCTCTGAAGCCTTGAGGAGGCATTGTGAGAGCCACCCTATCGAGGGTCCAAAATACATAGCAGGAGGGTAGACCGCAATCAGCCTAACCCTGTGAGGCCGTCCCGCAGAACCAGAAAGATACGAAGCCTCGTCTGCCTCGGCTTCAGGTCCTACATGTATCCACACCACATGGTCCGACCCACGGCACATCGGAAGATTCCGAGAGAGAACAGAATGACCAAATTCATAGCAGCTACATTACGGCTGCTTGCGAAGCTAGCAAAACGGTCACAGCATGCATCAGCAATCACTCAATCACAAGCATGTCAGCTTGGCGAACTCAAGGGCGACGCAGGCGTTGTGCTGCTACTTGTGGCCTGCATTGAAACAAAGCTTTGAAGTCATGCTGTAAGCTGGCAAGCTCTTGGAAGATATGGCTTCGCCTGCGTGGAAGCCGCTGCCTTCAGAAGTGCACCGACTTCACTCGATGTGGCAAGCGCGCTCGCGCCCACAGCACCCACGGCGCCGCCGTTGACGGTCTTAAGCAGCGTCGACCCGATTTCAGATATCCCCTCGCGCTTTGCCGGGACCTTGGCAGATGCCTTGGCTACTGCCTTTGCTGTCGGTGACTTGGCCATTGCCAACAATGCCTTCTTAGCCTTCTCCTTCTGTAGCCGCTCCGCTTTGATCTGCTGAAGGCGCTGCTGCTGTAACTGTTGTATATGCATGTTCTGCATCATCTGTTGCTGGAACTGCCAAGCCAACGAGGCCTGAGCCCCGTTGTAGGCCGCAGCTGCTGCAGCGAGCTGATACATAGAGGCAAAGTCGCCGTACTCAGCTGAACCCTCTTCGAAGTAGGAAGAACCTGCAGAGAGCATGGAGGGGAGATTTGAAAACTCTTCAACAGCCCAAAGCCTTCCAAGCCGTAGCCTTGGCCAAAGCTGGAGGCCAAGGCCTTGGAGCCTGACATGTCAGCAATCAGCGGGTCAAGTGCTTGTAACGCGCCGTGATGCGCCGTGCTTCTCCCCTCAAAGGCCTGGTGCCGTCGAGTCCCTCAGTTGCCGATGTTGCAGTTTCAGGCGCGTTTAGATGCAGGGACGTACCCAGGGCCCAGACCATGCCTGAGGATCTACCGCCTCTGCTTCCTGGCAAGTACAGGACCAAGGAAGTGCCAGATTGTGCCATGCAGAAAACACGTCCTGAGCTGCTGCGTCATCGGGCCTCGCTGGTATGCCGTCATGCTGGCATGGTGTTCACAGTGGCTCGGCACGGCAAAGTGGACTTTTTTGGGCTCAGGCTTGCCGCTTTCCTTGCTCGGAAGTGAACGCTTGGACACCGCCAGACTAGAGGCCTTTGCAGCCTGAGCGACTCAGAATGACTCAGATTTCCCGGCTGAGATGGATCTGCAACGCTTACGGCTTATGCAAGCTTGGGTCCCAGCTGCCGCTGCAGCCGCGGCCACCTCATCATAAGGCAGACACGACATCTCAAGGCCAGCCATTAGCGAGTCCTGAAGAATCCTGTACCATGCATTCTAAGCTACATAATGTGTACACCTCAAAGACTCCTTCTCAAAAAAAGCAGTGGACCCTACCTACTACAGCGCTTAACAAAACCCTTTCGAGATCTCTCTGCTCAGGCTCTCGCTGTGGCGGCTGCCGCCTGCGCCTCTGTGCCTCACTGTTCAGAGGTTTGCGTTTTTCCCCCTCTCCTCTTTTGCTTTCACTGCCTGCTTACTGCCTCTGCACGCTCGCCAACATCTCGGCAACTGGCCACCTCTGCTCACGCGGCAGCCGCCGGCTTTCAGAATTCTTCGGGCAGTCCTCGAAAGGCTTCAATGAGACAAGTTTTGCATGCCGTCTGTCACGGTCCTGGTGTTCACAGTGGACTCTGCATCCTGCCATGGTGTGCAAAATGCAGAGGGCAGCATGAAGAATGCAACACGCAAGACTCCTCATCAAGCTTCGGCCGGTACAGCTGATATTCCTTCCATGCAGAAGAGGCAAAGCTTTTCTGAGCTCTATTCCCTGATTGCCCTTATCTTCCGCGCCTGGTCTTCTGCGCCATCCCTGACATGAAGAATAAATTCCTATGGCAAGTCGTACGAGTCTGGTCGCTGTTAGGATTCCCGGGATAATAAGGCCCCTAGTATGAAGCGCACCGAGAAATGGAGCATAACTTTGACCAGAATTTTGACAGCTTTTCGTATAGCGCCAAAGCACCCCGCCACTCCACTTTCGTACTACGAGGCAAGCGAAGCAAATACCAAAAGCACTGCAATCAGTAAGCTCGTGGTCAAAGAATATGATGGCAAATATTTTGGCTCTGCTGCCAGGTTAACTGGAGCTTGAAACTGGCAGGCCGCACTCGCGCGTGAAGTTTGCTGGAACATCCAGAAGCTCTGACCAATGCTCCTGCTCAAGGACGCAGGCTACCCAACTGAACCGTAAGTCAGTAAGTCTCAAAATGAACACAGCAGCAGGCCTTGTTGCCATCTGCAAAGATGGCTTCCATGGCTTTCCTGTAGTCCTTTCAAGCTCTTCGTTTTGTTCCTTACTTGCTAGAGCAGCTAGGCCGTAGAATTTGTGAGAGAGTTCCTTTTCGCAGAGGAAGTAGGTCGAAGTACAACTTGGTGCAAGGGATACATGGAGCCCATCCCAGCCTCAGACTCGCGATCGATCTTGCCCGCTGCCTAGCATGGCAACCAGGATGTGGGTGTGCTTCTGCAGATGGACGCTCACTAGCTTCATCTTGACAGCAGAGTCTTCGTTTTTGCACGGCATCTCACTCCGGATCAGTCAGCAGCTGCCTCACGGTCTTTGAGGTGCAATTCGACAAGATCACAATGTGCAAATAAGGTCGAAGCCACGGGGGGATCTTTGTGCCTTCTTGGCCTGCAGAGCACCGTACGTCCGGCCCACTCTGCATGGCTGCAGCTTGCCTTCCAGCAGTGTTTGCCGGATGGAGACGTAGGAGTTGTAGCGCTGCGGGGAAATCCGGCCCTCCTGCAGCACCAGTCAACTAGGCAATTCTCCCGAAGAGGCTTAAGGCATCACAAAACAAGCCCTCAAAAAGAATAGAGTATAAGTTAGAGTATGACAAAATGATCTCCAACTCCTCCAGTGCCTCTTTGACAGCACAGAAAGGCTCCTGATGCCAGAAAATCCCATCAAGGACCTACGTTACGTTTTTGAACTGCTGCTTTGCGTCTGCACCCAGCCTCAAGATGGTTGCAGTTGGAGAACTTGCACTTACCAGCCAGCGGCAGGAACTCGACGAAATGGTCCTTAGTCTTCCAAACCAGATCTTTAAACCAAGAGTGCCAATAACTACATCATATGGAAAAGCAGTTTGGCGCTTGCCTGTCCTTCAGCTCGTCAGCAGCCACATCCCAAATGCTGAATCGCCTTGCGCCTGTTGCTCTCAAGGGGTCAACACTTTCTTTTACCTCAACGCAGGATTTGTGATTCTGAGACCACGCTCAACTATCAATCAATCGTGTTGTCCGGCAACGCTTTGCGCCCTTTGTCTGGGTCAAACGAAGCTGAGGGAGCTTTTCTGGCCCCTGTGTTGAAGGAAGGTGTTTCGCAACGATCAACAATAATCTAAAGAAATCAAGATAATCACAACAATCATCGCCGTCATCATCATGACCGTGACAGCTGTAGTAATGACGACGAACACCAAAGAAAATAGGTGCGGTGCAGCACCTGTTCGTTGTCACTTGTTTTGCGGGAGGAAAAGCATGTCGTTTTACAAAGTGTTCGCTCATGTTCTTGGGCTCAGCGCTAATCCTGTAGCTGCAGTTTGCTTGCGAATCCCCTGCACATCTTGTGCTGCCCACGAACCGCGTTTGCAATACTGCAGTCTTTTAGTGGAATCCCTGCAATTACATAGTGGAACCCAGCATTTGCAGCCCTCGTTCCCCCAAACCATGGCCTGGTGAGTCGATGAGGTAGGCTGGTTCACCAGGACCTGGGAGACGATGCCTGGCCCGTGAAAACAAAATGATCTCCACAACTTCAAATCGCGAACACTGGAAAGTCCCCAAAAACAAGCGGCAACGCAGCGTCGTGGTCGTCGTCACATGGCGCCCCAACTTCAACCTTTCACGGACACACTCTGTCTCCTTCGGAAAAAAACTCCTGGCCTTTCGCTGATGTCTCCAACCGATGCCGCAATCTGGCCCTACCAGCATTGTGCAGAAGCAGTTTGTAAAGGGAAATCTGTTGCTGCTTCTGACGATGTAACACATTTGCTGTCAGAGCGTTGCATACAGGTCACACGTTGGCCCATCCTCGCCCAGTGCGTTGAGAAGCTGTGACTTGCCCACACCGCTATTGCCGATGAGGATGCTGGTTCCTCAGGCAAGTGTCAAAAACAGCTTGTGCCGAAACCCAACTTTTGAGGGCGCAGCGGCCACACAGAAGTTGCCGAAGGAGAGGCACATTTTCGCCCTCCAAGGCACTGACCAACAGCACCTCAACAGCGTATCACAAAGCTGTTGGTCCTGACAGTGAAAAGCATTCCATGGCCTGATAGCCCGCTGACTCATAAATGCTGAGGCGCCTTTCGACCTTGCAAAAGACCACAGCCCGTGCATGATGCACTGTCTGCAAGACAAAGTTGCCTCTTCTCTCTCGACATCTCCGAGCAAGTCGGCCTGGACCAATCGGCACGGAGCCGAGTGCGAATACCTGCATTCTCCAAGTAAAGCGCCTTGTTCAGCACGATAAGGACGTCCAAGCCCTGCGCGTGCACCGAAACGAGAACCCGGTCCACCATTCCCTGACAGGAAACATGAAAATATTTCAAAGAAGGGATGTGAGCAAGTTGCTTCGCCTCCGAAAAGTTGGGCTCAGTGCTGAGGACCAGCACCGCGAGGTCCAAATTGGCACACAGAGCCTGTGCTTGGTGCGGCGCGCCTGCTCGCCTGGTGCAGGAAGAACTAAGAGAATCCCTACAAGATAAAACAAAGTGACTGCCCACCTCCTTAGCAGCGTGGACTTGCGAGGTAACACCTAGCAAGCTTACCGAGCATGACGTGTCATGTAAGGGAAAGGTCGCAGATGGCTTTAACTCTGGCTCAACAGCGGCTCAGGTTTGAAAATTCTGCCACATCCACGGGCTGGAAGGGCACGTTAGACGATCAGAAAACAAAACCGCGCAGCCCGGGAATCTGAGGGATGGGGACTCATTCCTGCTATTTCCTGCTGAACATCAAAGTCATTGCTTCACCACCCACAATCCGCACCGTAAGCCCTGGAGGTGAGAAATGAAGCCTGAATGATGCCGATGATGCTAGCTCCTGGTGACCCACCACTATCAGCATCATCAAGGATCGGCCTCTCAGTCTCAAGGACTTCAGATCGTCAACGCTGATGGCACGACACTTTGTCAGCTTTATAAACGCTCCATGGAGGCATGTTCAAAAGTTTTGCATCCGCGTGCACGCGCACGCGCGCATGGTGCCTCCAAAGATGGCATCCAGGGAGTTTCGCAAAATCTGTTTGTCATGACCCACAATCTGTCGCACTGGTCGTCTGGCGTATTTGATGCAAAGCCTGGTGGTGAGGGCCGAGCTCCCAGAGCGCGAGGTCCCTCTCCAGCCACCGCCTTTCCGCTCCCCGTGTCCACCACCCTTGACAAAAGCTTCTCTGCGTACAGGAGCAGCTGTCACGGGCAAGCTTCCACCTGCGCAGGGCACCGCGCAGAACGTCAGCTCACTCTCGGACTGTAGAGTAATCCCAACACCCTTGAGAAATCAACTTGTTCCACTCGTCAAGGGCAGCCATCGCTTTAGTGTTCTTAGCCTAGCCACGCATGCAGTATGCAAGAATACGGCGGCGTCGCCATGTCGATGCGGTTAAAGTTGGGATCGCAAAGGCATGCTAGGACAAGCATCTATTTCGGGAGTCTTGGGAATGTCCGGAGGTACGGAAACCGGACAGTTTTCAACGAATGCAAGTGCAATTTCATCACCACATTCAATGACCAAATCATTTTCGGAAGAAATAATCACGTCAACGCAAACAGCTTCGGAGTCATAGTTCTCGGAGATAAGTGACGGACAAACTTCAATCGAAGAGTGCTTAGCTTTACTCTTCGGGAGCGGACGCAACTGAGCCCAAGCCGATCGCGATTTCTCATTACACCCCATATTTTTGATTCAAACTTAAAGGATTTCGGGTTCAAAAACTGATCTCTCAGCAGCTGGCCTGAAATTTTTCCTCTCTGAACTCTCAAGCTCAAAGGCTCATAAGCCTGAAACTGGAGCCTTACAGCTCTTGAAAGGACTGCTGTTAGTTGTGGGCCTGTGGCCTTTGCTGTAAACCTTGGAGGCCTGAAAATGGATTGTTGGAGCTCCTTAAACGTCTGAAGTTCCCTGGGGGGCCCTGAACTGTAGGTTGTTGGGGCTTGCGAGTGGGTGTTTAAAGTTGGTTACCGCTCCCCAAAATGCCTCTTGCTGGCGAATCTGGGAGGCCTCAGGGTCCTCGGCTTTGCCTGAGGAGGATGCAACAGGCTCAGCTGCAGACGAAGCAGGCTTAGCTCCAAAGCCCTCAACCTTGCTCAAAAGCTTTCCATAGTCTCCTGCAAGGCAGGGAATTCTCAAAGGACCCTCAAAACCGGAAGTTGCAGCTGCAGTCCTTTTTTCAAAGAGGGCACCATTGCCTTGGCTCTTGCTTTCTTAGTCACCCAGTACCTCAGTCCTTTGTATTGGTCACACTCGGGGCAGCCTGATTGCCATCGGCAAGAGGAACAGATGCCCATAGCATGCTTCAGATTTCTGCAGTTCTCAATTGCCTCAGCACTCAGGTCCTGAAAGTTGAACCTGTGACTGTGCTTAGCAGTTGCCTCTTTGGCACTCTTAGGTTGCTGGAAGGTGTCGCTGTTCAGTGCCTTAGCAAGTCTCCTGGGCTGTCTTGAGGTTCTTCTCAGCTTGCTGCTTCAAAGTTTCTGCCTTGGCATTCTGAAGGGCCACCTCCTGCTCCCTCCTGTCATGCTCCTTAGAGAGCATCTCACTGGCCTTCTGGAGCCTCTCCCCCCAGATCGTTGCCAAATCTCCGATCCAGAGCTTAAGAGCCTCACAACTCCTCAGCCTCACCTGCTGCTCAAGCCACCCTGAGGTGTAGAAGCCACAGGCCAGAGACCCCAAGATCAGATGGATTGACAAACACCCCAACAGCAGCTGGGCCTCAGTGCAGCTTTCCATGGGCCCAGCCAGACTGTCCAGGAAGGTCCAGCTGAAAGCCTCAGTTTGCTCCTCAATGGCTTTCAAGTGGTCCAGTGATTTGAAGCGTAGACGAACACCACTTTAAATGGAGCTGTAGCTGCCCTGAGAGCATCGACCCTCATAATTGTTGGACTCAGGGTATGCACTTAGCACTGCTAAGGCAGGGTCCACACAGTTCATGGACAGGTCCCCGGCATGGCAGCCTTGGCTCTACTCAGCAAGAAGCCCCAAACACGGAGAATGAGGTGGATCAGCCTTCTTTCTGAAGGACGTTGGCTCGTCCCCACCATCGGTCACTTCCTCAATGCGGAGGCCTTTCCAAGCCGGGATGTCCCAATTCTCGTCCCTTTCGGAACAAGGTGGCTCCACTTTCTTGCGGAATGTCTCCTCAGCGCTCGCGCCGCCTCCCCTAGCCCAGGGCGGTAAACTCCCGATCTTCAACGGGGAGGAAGTAGCAGCCTTGACCAATGAGGCCCTAACTCCCGAGTGCTCGGAAGCCTTCCTGGGCATCATCCTCCGTCCCACCCAGACTGGCCAAGATGGCTCTCTGCTGCCCGACAACCATCGACCACTCTGAGTCGGCATCGTCGTCGAGCAGCTCCCTCTTGACATCCTTGTCCTTATCGACCGGAAGTCGCGGGGGTGGTCCACCAGCAGGTTCGGCCGGCATGCCCAGGTCTTGATGGTACTTCCTCCGACTTGAAAGCAGCCCAACGCCATTATATGTCCCCTCAAACGCCGAGAGCTCGCCCGGTACGGTTGGCTCGTTCTGTGGTGGTCGGTCGGGTTTTTCAGCACCCTCCCCCTCGACTCTCGGAGGCAGGCCTTTTAGCTCTACCTACAGATCCAGGGGGCTTTCTAGCCTTCTTTGAGAAGACTTCGTCACGGCCCACGTCTCCTTCGTCCCATGCCTTGGGAGGAAAAGCGGTCTCAGGTTGGCGGGTTGGCGCTTGCCTCCCATCCTCACTCCCCCTGTAGGTCTTGGAGAAAAATGACTCGTTGTGCCGTGACTTGCCTTGAGCCAAAATGGCCACGGCCGTCATATTTCGCACCTAGACATCCACATAGTACTATCGCACAAGACGTGAAATTCTAGGAATCCAGGATTTCTGGACAATTTCTCGTCAAGTTTTAAATGGTGTTCATATAAACCATTCACTTCTAGACCTTAGGGCTTTTAGCGTTTGGGGTTACTGCAAGCTTGGAAGAGTGATTCTAATAGCTCCTTTGTGCAAACATGGGTCAGAACAGACAGCAATGGTCCTTGAGTTGCTTGGCAATATCTTCGAAATAACAGATTTTGTTGGTAAATGGGAGGGGGGGGTGGCATAAACATATCATATATGTATATATAAGCAGCAACAACAAGAACAACAAAGACTCACTTTTCTGATGCTTCCCCCGCGTGAGGAAACAATTTTGTGGATTCAAAACTTTGAAAGGACTTGCTTCTCAAAAAAGTCTGGGAGGAGGAGGAGCTGGGCAAAACGAAATCCCAAATGCCGGTCCGTGCGCGCCCGTAAGCGAAAACGGGAAGGCTTTCGGGCTTAGTCTTCTTTGCCAGGCCCGCGCAGGCTGCACCGAAATGGGGCCGTGCCGACAGCGATCACCGATCCCACTTCAAATCTCCGGTTGTCCGGTTCTCCCCGGGGCTTCCGGTCTTCTAGGGCCAACCACATCAAACATGACGAGCATCCGTATGATGGCTAGGCTCCAGCGCCTGCTACCTGCTTAAAGGAGGTTACTGGTCGAACGCTTTGCCCTTGGCAGGCATTCGTGATGTGGCCAGCTCCACCGTGTAGCTTCAGAGCCTACCTAGCCAAAAACAGACCCCCCTGCTTTACCTGACCTGAAACGAGTGCTGCCAAGAAACATCACAGAAGCTATCCTTCTTGCGAACAAAGCTTTTGCAAGCTCAAAGCGCACAAATGTAACACAGATACGCTAGGCTTCTCTTCGCGGCTGGTCTGCAAGCTGATGCCTTTTTGGTGTCTTTTTGGGCCCCCTTTAAACGCGAAGCCGCCACCAGCCCAAATCTATCGGTGAACATCAGTAGGACAAGGCTTGAGGGAGTCCACTGTATCATGTACTCACCTCGGATGCTCGCCCTGCCTCCTCAACGACTGCCTGAAAGTTGGCAAGGCAAGCTAGTCAAGAAGCTTGCAATCGTGGGCGGGTCGTTGACTGTTGAAGGATCTCTGTACCCAGGTGAAACACACTACCGCATGTTCCTCGACTTTTCTTAGGTAGAGCGTGCTTGTATTGAACACAAGTTGGCTATAGGGTGGCCTGGGCATCTCCAGCAGCAGTAGTAAAGGCTATACCTTGACAGATTCGCAGGACAGCATGCGACTGGTTGCCCCGGCATAGGCTCTCTTCTTGGACCGACGCTCACCTCATCACCGACGATGGGTTGCAGGCTGGGCCTCAGTCCAATGTTTTCTGGCTCTGCAGAAGCAATTGTCAAGCGTCCTGTTTGCGTACAGTGTCTGGGAAAGGGTTAGCCGCTCTCTGGAGCCACAATGTCTGTCCAGCGATTAGGTCAGCAGCAAAACCAGGAGCCAGGCGCCCGTCTGCCTCTCGGAATCTGGCAAATCGTTGGCTCCGCGGCGTCAGTGATCTTCACCAGCACTTGCCTGAGACAGGCCAGCCCACTACGCGACGCTTCCCATTTGGCATTTGGCTCGTGAGGGGCTCCGGCCCGTGACGCTCTGCGCCTCCAACAACGCGACCCACAGCACGACCGAAGGCATCCCAGGCCTCACTCACCACAGTAACCGCACTCACCGCACATCTCCCTTTGCACCGTTGCCACAACGCGCATGGCACCTCGTCATCCTCGTCCGAAGGTTCATCCGGCTCCTCCTCTGAGGTTTTTTGAAAAAATATGTTCCTTCGCATCCTCGCAGAGCCTGGCAGAGCCTCGCATCTCCTGGGCATCCCGGCCTCCGCCTCTACCGACTGGCCTTCCGCCTCTCGGGCCTCTCGGGCCTGTCTGGCCTCTGCCTGGCGCTGGCCTTGGCCAACAGCCTTGACAGAAACTCAAGAATCTTCTGAGGCAGCTCAGAGACGCCGCTCCTTGCGCTCCCGCAACCTCTGCCAAGAAGGTGGGATAAGGGAGCGGACTCTTCGAAGATTCCTGGCCTGGCTTCGATGTCTGCCAGCGTCGGGCCTCGTGCTCTCTTGGCCTCGCAAAACAGCAGGGCAGCAACTGGCCAACAAAAGATGCTGTTGTGACAGACTTGCGCAGATGCCTTCGGCTTCTTCGCGTAGCGCCGAACCCTGAGACAGCAGTGACTGAAAGCAACCAGAACACGAGAGCAATCGAGAGCGGCTACAGCTAGGGGCAGGGCAGAGGCGGCTGCGTAACAGCCCAGATCGAGCAAAGGGCTAAGGCGGTCACAGAAGCCCTGGGAGCCTTGCCTGGAGCTTGAAAGCCTGAAGGCTTTCAAGGGGTCACCTCCTTTGTTTATGGACTTTAGGCATGCATTGACTGGCCTTTAAGCGCAAAAGGCTTCGTCAAGGTTGCAGCTGGGAGGAGCCCTCTCATGCACACGCTCCAGCAAAGACTTGGGGTGAAATCGGCTTGCTAACTTGACTTTCCATCCTTGGAGTGCAGTCGGCGCAGCCATGGAGAGACATGGTGTTTGACGACGGCTCTACATGTCTTTTAGCGATTGAAGGCTATTTCAAGGTACTTCAAATAAAGCTTCGTTTCTTCAGCCGTTGGGGACTAGGTTCAAAAGCCAAACGCTGCAATTTTGGCAAGGTATTGTGCACGTCTTCTTGAGTGCAGGTCTCAGGCAGCAGAGCGCAGCTCAGCCTCCATCCAGGTCCAGGTGGCTCTAGGCACCACGTCATCACGGCGCGAGATCCGCACAGAGCAGCCTGCGCACTCTGCACTCTCTGCACATCTCGCTTGTCAGGGAATCCCAAATTTGTGTTGCATGCGCCTAGGTCGGTGGTGCGGAACTTCTTGGGCGCGCACTTTGACACCTGACTACCAAAGAAGGACTTGAAGCAGGAGGAGCGCAATTCTCTGAGCCCCGCACTGGGAGATCATGCATTACATGCACCACAGCAGCTGTGCGGCAGGGCCAGTTCTTTATGGCTGCTGCCTGCAAGCAGATCGAGGGCCAAGAATCGATCAGGTGGCCAGATGTGTCCTATCCACACCTGCAGGCAATACAGCCTGCGGTTGTCGAACGTGAACCAGCATGGCTCTCCTGACGGCTGCTGCTTCATGATGACTGGAGCAGATCCAAGCACCGCATGCACCGCATCAAGGTGACTTCAATGCCTAGGATTGTCTTGCCATTCTCATCCAGAAGCGTTTCGCCATCCTGTGGACACTGCTGATGAAACCAAGCTGGAGTACCATGCAACAAAACGCGAGCACCCCAATCAAATTAGCTTTGAGTTGTCGGCTCTGTCCCTTGCTAGAGGCTACAGTACTATGTCTGCACGCTCCTCTTTTCGATAGTGCTCAGCGCTGATGGCATGCAGTGGCGCCCTCATTCTCTCTCGCACTTCTTAGAGACACAGCCTCCTCGCGCAGCTTGGGCCACCATCGGATAATCTCGATGGGAGGGAACGGTGCCCTGCGAAGATTGAACATGCACGATCAGAAGCTGTGAAGCCTTTGTAGCCACGGGCCTTAACAGGACGTCGTATCTCTGTTGTAGAGATCCCTCTGGACAAGAGACAGCCTGCCATCCGAGCACAATGGGGCAGCTCTTAGCGGAGATGGAATGTCTTTCCGGGCGCACAGTGATCTGCTCCATGGATGCCTCCACCTCTCTTCCATCCTCAATGCCCAAAACTTAATCAGACAGTAAACATCAACCCTGCAAAGGCCCGAAGTCGTGCCGTCCTGGAATGTGGGCCGTATCCGGGCTTGCGAGAAGCGGATGGAGAATGGGCATATGAACTTCTCCTCGTGAGAAAGATGTGTGTTCATGAGTAACAGGACGTGACCTGCAAAAATGCTGACTTTGCAGGCTCTCTCCTCATAGAGGGGCATGGTCTCTTGCTGTGTGGGCTCCTGGATATGCCAGGATGGCCGATGCCAATAGATGTCAATCGCGCAGTATGTATGGAGGCTTTTGCTGTCCTCCAGTGGCCACAGCGTGTGCGGAAAGCTTTCCCACTTGTTCGTTCTCAGGGGTTTGTTTGTGCACTTGCCTGCAGCTGGATGTGCTACTTGCTATCCGCTGGGGAGGTCTACGACAGTGGACTCTCAGGGCCTCAAAGGCTTCGGAACTATCACTACAACGATCAGCACACCAGCAAGGAAAGCAAAAAGAGGATTGTTGGTTCGTCTCAGGTGGGAGTCTTCCCAGTCCTTCTTTGTACAACCTGCCTTGAGACACTGCGATGGCAACAGTTGGCGATCCAGGCACATTGGCGCTTTGGCATCTCATTCTGCAGGGATATCTATGAACAGCTGGACAAAAGAGACGGCACTACTTGCCCTGACCAGCAACGCTGTTGTTGATGACCATCATCCTGGCAGGGGAAGTCGCAGGATGTCGGAAGTGGTATCCGCTCCCTCTCGGCGGCCCTGACGTGGTGCCAAGAGACTCATCATTTCATCATGTCATAATTTTAAGAGACGATCACTGTCCAGTCCCTAACAGAGGCAGGCATTGGCTGCAGCAGCCCTGTTGAACATCTCTTGCGGTCTACCAGTGGGGCAGCCATTGCAGCCACTGAGGTCCTTTCTCGAAGAACATCACGAGATTGAGTGGCGGGGCAAGTGCTCATGACCTAACAATGTCCGTGCGACAGATGCAACAGGGCAGTTCTATGCGATGCGACGGCTTAGACCCCTGCTTTGTAAGCCCGCTCCCAGCCAGACTTTCTCAGTGTTGGGAGGCCCTTCTCCCTGACAGAGTTCTCAGGTCCAAGCCTCTACAAGTGTCCGATATGTGGCCTGCTGGTAGTCAGCACTGAGCACAAGAGCACAGCCTGCAACCATTCAACATCCAACCCGTTGCGCACAAGACAGGAAAGGCGGCTAGAATCATGCTCATGCTTCCGCCGACCTGATTCAGCCAGTCTACGTTCTGCAGGTTGGCCTTTGCAAACAGTCCAGATACTCCCGCACGGCCCCGCGCTGGTGCAACTCCGAAAAAAACAAAAATGCAAACGGGACCTCATCGGCCAGGGCTGCAATGAGATTTGGGAGCACAGAGTGATCACAGACCTCGGACAGTCGACTGGCAGCTCACAAGATGACAGTTCAGGCACACTGAACAACGATCCTACAAAGACATTTGGCTCGATGTATTGCAGAATGCAGCTCCAAATGAGAGGTACTTGCATCATCAAACTTGACAACTCAATTCACACACATGAGCCTGATCCCTCCGTGTCGCCGATAGGCAGATGGAGCGTAGGGCCAGCAGCACCTTGTCATCATATCTCCGGAAATGCCAGAAAGCACATAGCCGGCAAGGCCTGCCTTGCTCTGAAGCTTTATGCTCCATTCAGGTAGAGGAGAGAAGCCTGCGTGGGATAATAGCTGATGCAGCGCCGTGGTTCCACAAATCACCTTGCGACATCGAGGACTCCATGAGCTTCATCAACCAATCGAACACCTGGAACAGCATCTTTCTAAAGCGATCTCTTCTTGCGCCTTCGCACGCTGCATCCCTTGTGTACCTTGCCTGCACTTCTGCAGATGCGGCAGCATTCCTCGCGCCCTCATCCTGCAAACTTGAGGAGATGGCCAAAGGTTGTGTGAAAATTCAAGGCGGGCTCTTGGGCTGCGGCAGCACACAGCTGGCCAAGGATGCTGCAAACTTCGGCCATCAACCGCCACCTCTTGTTGGCAAACTGCCGTAGGGCCATGATCATAGTTGAGGCATGCGGGAAACCAAGTGCGGGTAGGAGATTGCTGGCGCACCAACAGGGCCAATCTGCTGTGATGATTGATACAACAGCAGGTTCACGGCTCATGTGCCCAGGCGTTTGCCCTAGGACTTTGAATGTCCAGATCTGGATAAGAGAGAACAACGGATGGCATGATGCACCAGGCCTTGTCAGCGTCTGATCCTGGAGTCCTCGAATGAGCTGCTCTCAGTACAGAGTCCTTGCTGGAATTACCTGTGGTCATCCCACCTTTGGACTACCACACACACTGGCGTGACCATCCAGTGGAGCAAGCAACCACGCCATGCAGGTGGACGGGGGTAACACCTAGCGGACCTAGCAACTGCTCTCACATTCAGATATTTTGGCTGACCTGGCTGCAGCTCCATAGCTCGTTTGGTCACCCAAGAACGGCTGAACGGCTGTCAGCGACTTCTACAGAAGATTCAAATTGACTCTGCGGGGGTGTTCTGCAAGAATGACAAGTTTTCCCACGTAGCTCTCAAAATGTCTGAAGTCCTTGTAGCAGTCCAGCGCAGAATTCCACCAGTCCTCAAACAATTTGGACTCGTGAGGGCTACTGCAAATCTAATTCAGCACGCGAAAGAAACTTTGTGCGATGTTTGTGGTAATTGCCATGTCGAGTATCCTCAGAGAGCTACCCCCTGCCAAGATTTTCCCAACAATTGCGCTGCTGGTTCCTGCAAATGCACTGATGTTGACCCACACCCCCGCCACCTCCGCAAGCGCATGCCCCAGCTTTCGTGAACAGCCACGGACTTGCACGCAAGGTTTGAAACGAGGACGGAATGGACACATTTAGCATGTAGTGGATCTTGTGCAAACACAGCTTCATTCATTCAATGTATCCGAAGCTGTCAGGGAACAGGCAAAAAATGAGCGCAGCACCGTACTTCTCCACTGAGGCACGGTGGTTGGATCTCTTCGTAAGCTGGACCTGGGCTCGGCTGGCATCAGCCCAAGTTCTCGTTCTTGCTTCTCCAGCAAGTGGCTAAGACCATCAGCGAATACAGCACCAGATCATCATCGTATGTCCTCCAACCAACCGACCAACAATCCAACGGACAGGCACAAGTAGTCAGCGAAATAGTTCTGTCCGCACATTGCGCTTGCACAATGGCACCATGTCTTGGTGGATCAGATGACTTCGAACAACCTCGGCAAGCCATGCAAGCCAATGAGCCCAAAGAAACAGCTTTCGTGATTTCGGCCTCGTGGCTCTGGCAGAGATTTACCAAAGCTGCGCAGGCATAGGTCACCAAGAAGGAGGCACCTGCTCAAGCGCATACGTGTGTACCCGTGTAACACTCTTCAGTGTGCTTGCTTTTGCGTGCTGAAGCTGTGATCGAGTTCCGGATATTGCACCTTGCCTGTCCGTACCAACAGCATCAGCCCATTAGCCAACACCGTTGATTGGCCATTCTCGCCAATGGCCTGTCAAGGCCATAGAGCGCACGGCAAATGGCACTCTCCTCAAAAGCACTGCGCCTCGTCTGAGATAATCAGCCTGCAAACACAGGCCTCCGGACAATGCAACTTGCTTCTCAACACTGCTGGGGACTGGGGTGTGCCTTCAGGTTTGTGGAGGCCGTCTCACAGCACAGGAGGTTCCTCACAGCCACCCAAACAGCTGCTGTGCCAGCTGCATGCTGCTTGAAGCCAAGCACCCGGCGCAAGAAGAGCTGCGTATTCCATGCTCATGCAACCCTTGCCTGATCAAAGGAATTTCAACAAAAAGGCAGCATGCTGGCACTACGTACACCGCCTAAGTCTTCATCCTCAAGATCTGCACGCAAGTGCCCGGTTTCGAGCAGTGCCTGTCAACATCTGCCTATCCACCCTCTTGCGGCAAGTAACCGACAATGACAAGGATGAAGCCTGCATGACCTTGTCGTTGAAAGTGCAGTTGGCCTGAAGTCATGGCTTCAGGATTTTACGGCGGAAAACATGTCCTACAAGAGCGCTCTACTAGCCTTGAGGGCCTCCTTGCCTTCCGAAACGCCTGGGGATTTCGCATATGCTTTGGCTAGCTTTCAGATGCTGATTTCTAAGAGCGCCACGCTTTGGTGATAACCTTTGGCAGGAAATCTGTCTGACAAGCAATGAAGGATGAAGAAAGATCAAACAAAATTCAGCTGCGGCACAGTCCCATTGCAGTCAGCTGGCTCCTGATGCCCTGGCCGATTTCAAAGGGGCCGTCTGTTCCGGATAGCATGCCCCACTACAGCAGGATGATGCTGCATGTGCATCTTGCATGTCTATCAACCTCAATCGGATCGAGACCTTGACATTATAATAGAACAGCAACCACAGAGTTCAAGTGCTAAGGCCTTCAGCTCCCAAGGAACATGGAGATTCGTTGGTCGGAGATGCAGTAGAAACGCCCTTGCGTGGATGTTCCACCGCTGCGTTCAAGTGAGCATGAAGGTTGAGAGTACGGCAGAACGTCTTCAAAGACAGCAGAAGTCTCCTTCATGCTCGATGCATACACGTCGCAAAACACAACATTGCGATCAATGTGTGGGTGCCTTTGAGACTCCGCCATCATGCACACCCTGGACAAGGTCCGCCAAGGTCACCCGAGAGCCTGGGCCCAATGAAGTCGTGCGTTGCATGGAAGTCTTGAGCAGCGTAGGATGCAGACCCAAAATGGAGCCGTCCAGCCGGTGAGCCAAGTAGTGGGCCACACGGGCTTGCCATGCATGGATGCCTCAGTTCGGCAGGGCTTCTCCAATACTACAGCACCACTAAGATGCATGAACTCAAGTCCAAGGTCGGTAGAATCAGCTGCAAACAGAATCTGCCTGAGTTCATCTTTTTGTTTTCGCTTGCGGCCGTGATCTGCAAACTGCTTGCCCGCTTTCGGTGAGCCACAGGAAGAACCAGCCAATCATATCTTCATGCTTCAGGGACTCTGCTCCTACTTGGCCCAGTCCAGCGTGGACTTGACAATGCCACGCTCCTTTGTGACATTGGTGGCACGGCAGTATGTGGTGGGTACGCCCACAGGGGTCATTGGGATCGGAAGTCCACCAGCCATTGCCTGGACAGTCGATGGGTCCACGCCGTTGGCAATGGCAGCGATAAGCTCAGCGCCAGAATGGACAATGTAGGGCCGCTCGAAGAGAACCTCCTTGACGCTGATGTGCCAATCACCCAAACCACCGCCAGGGTTTGGGAATCCCTGAGATGCAGTTGCAGCCATGAGGGACACATGTGACACGCCCGGCAACACCACCTGGCCCATTACTCGGTGGTCAGTGTACATCCTGAGCTGAGAACGTTGGCAAGCAACATAAGACTTCATGATGCAACTGCACATTGCAGTAAGACCTGCCTAGATCATCTATCTTCATTCCTGCTAGGGCACCGCATGGATGTGGGAGTGATCAGCGCCTCTGCCAACAGACCACCTTCACCAGGACCCACATTGCCCACCAAGGCATGGTAGATCTTCCGCCATTCGAAGGATTTCGCTCCGTCCTTGCTCCAAGTGAACTTCTGGGTCTTCATGACGCCACCTTCAGCTGCGGCTTTCTCAATGCCACCGCGCCTTGCCTCGGCCTGACAAAGCAACAGCAAAAGTTCTTGCAAATGCAGCTAGACCGTGCTCTTTAGGCTCACGCATAGCCTCTCTTTCGCAACTAGAAATGGTAAGGTCAAAGAAGCGAGAGCAGACGAGGACAAGTGCCAACAATGCTGAAGTGCCTTGGCCAAGCGCTGTTCTGCCTGCTGTCGCCACTGTGCCCTCTGGGCTTCGCGGTTGTCCAAGGCGTACCTCCTCTTCGCATTCATGTAGTCGCCCCCTGTCAAAAGGCACACCTGACCATTCTTGATGTGCAGGTCCCGGTCACTGATGGCATCGGCGGCACCAAGTCCCAGCAAGTCCCACGCATCTTCTGTGAGAGTCAGGGACGAGGATGTTCCCTCTGGAGTTCCGCTGTTCAGCACCTGTCAAATCATGTGAATTGTCTGCACAGCACGGCAACAGACCATAGATGCAGAGCAATCCTCAGGTGCGGGCATTGTCGGGCATGGTTGGGAGGCTCATCCTGCTCAAGGTGCCTGTGGCCTGGCAGGAACAGCTTGCACATCTTCCAAAGGCAGAGGGAGACAACACTCCTGGCCTAGTTGGTCCTGCCCAAGTTGATCTGCTTCTCTTGAGCCAAGGCTAACGAAGCAAAGGAAGCAAAGGAAGCAAAGAAAGCAAGTGTCAAAGCAAAAGCACCTTGCATCTAGCTGGGCACTTGGCTTGCAGAGCTGGCAGCGGTCCTGCAAAGGAGTCCGACGGCCGAAGCAGTTTGAGCACCGAAAAAAAAGCGGAGCTGAAGGCTCCTCGGAAGACCTTGACCAGGGTGGCTAAGCAGTTTGAGCGCCACAGTCAAGGGCTCGAGGTCCTCGCAAACACAGGAGCCACGCAAGAAACGTTGAACAAGGGCAGCGACCGTCTCGGCCAGGGTGCAGAGCTCACTGGTTCGCTTCTCGATTTCCTGAAGTGGTCAAGTTGGGAGGTTTGTGAGATGTTCTCATACGTCATTCCGAGGCGAAGGCTTCAAGATCGTCCAGAGAGGATAGTATGTGCTCGTTGTACAAGCTCTTGACCACACCCTGTCACATGCAGACTCACAAAGACTTTCACGGGAACTGCCCATGTCCTTCACAAAGATTGTCGCGTGCTTCTCCACGTCAACAGGTCCGTGTGGTTGCAGCTTGAACCTTTGTCAGATTCACCTCTTGAGGGCTCTCGTGGCACAAGCCTGGTCCGTGGCCGGTCATGTAGCCACGTATAGGCCTCAGAATCGTAGAGAAGAGCATCCAGCTTGGCCTTGTGGGAAATCAAGGTACAGAGAAATTAAAGAATCAAGAGATGCTTCTCTTCGTCTCTTCGTTCCACTGGCCTGGACAATGTCGGCATTGAGGTTTGGATGTGGAGAAGGGCTGAAGCTGTCCGCAATAATCGCAACTTCATCCAGGAGTCGCCCCTGCAGCAAAGGAAAAGTCCAAACACCTTGCATTGTGGTATCCTAGCAGCTGGGAAGGACTCGTAGGACGTATTGGACACTGAGAACCAGATCCAACATACTGTTAGACTAGGTTGCAAGCGCTACCCAGCCCAACCCCGAAATCCGTCCCCTGGCCGAAAAAAAAAATGTTTTGGCCACTTCAGGCCCCTCCCACTACATGGTCAAGGTGCGCCTGCAGCGCCTCAGCTGTCACCGACTTGGAGGGACACTTCAGGGCGAGGACAAAATCCTTTGAGGCTGCTGTCGGCTTTTGGAAACTGCGTCACCACCACTCTTTTCGGCTACTCTACGTTCTCAACTTGCTCCTGCACGGTGTCCATCATGGGAGCAACGTACTGTCGCCTGGCGCTGCAAAGTTGAGGCTTCCACTCTCGTCACTTCGGGCTTCAGGAATTTGAGTCATGCTAAGAATTTGGACATTCTACTGCCCAAGAGCAGGTGCAGGACAGCTGTGAGTCATGTTGCTGCACTTTTCTCTTTTCCAAGATGACCAAGTGAGCTGGAGAAATGTTTCTCAGCTCTGTCCCCGGTATGATTTCTTCTGTCAAATGCTTGACCGTCCCGGAGCCAGGTCGCCTCCCAGCGGTGCAAGTCTAGAAATGCCGATCGGCCACACATGTCAAGCTTATAATTCCCTTTCAAGTTTGAGCCGCTTGGGGTTCAGGCTCTGTGCAAAAGCTGCAGGCTTCGAGGGCTTCGAGGGCTTCGTGCGTAGCAACTCTCGGACTGGTGCCGCAGCATCTGGGCGAACCAAAAGCATCTGGGCTCGATCTGCTTCCAGTCCACGTGACCAGAGGAGGCCTCCTGGGAGCAAGCAATTCCAGGAGGCCCTTTAGAACCCTCCTTTTTCGGATTCCTAGGCTCCTGTGGCTTCCGCCACCTGCTTGGCTGCCTCAAAGGTGTCCTCATCTCCCGGCTGCCACTCAAAGAGGACTGCCGCTGAGGACGCCGCCCGGGAACGGCTGGACTCCCAGACCTGCGATGCAAAGAATGCAAGCTTTTTGAAGGATCAAAAGAATGTAAGGCCAACACTGTGAAAAAAACACGCTTGGGCTCTGCCTCCAGCTGGCCACAGACGTTGGAGGGTACTGCAGCACCCTCGCGGGCATCCCGAGCTCCCTGCCGCACCCTGGGATGAGCAGCAGCCTCCAAGTAGCGGAGCATATGGGCGGCGCGGATGCCATGACTCATCGCTTTCATGACTGACTCAGCAGTTAGCTGTCCCACCACCAGATTCGGCAACCGCACCAAGATCTCGCAGAAGTGTCCGAGGAGCAGTGCATGAAGAGAACTGGAAGTATAACAGTACACCTTGAAATTGCTCTCCACGATGATGCCCTGTGAATCTTCCGTCACACCCAGGATCTCCTGGCTAGACGTTCCACTGCGCGAAAGCATTTGACTTGCGTCCCGTCGAAACATAGCAAGCGCGCCAGGTGTGATCCAGAAGCGACAACTCTGGCCTTGCCCAGGTGACTCCATGTACAAGACGCCCAGCTCTGTCAGAAACTTGAGAAACCGCTGCTCAAGCTGGGTTGTGGAACTGGCCATGATTAGACACTCACCGACCCGCAGCTCTCCCATGGCGAGCACAATTTTGAGCGGACCTAGCGGGTTCTCAGCTTTCGCAGACTTCAGATATGAGATCACCAGTTGCCAAAGCTGCTGCTGTCGCTCATCCAGCACGAACTGGAAGCCAGCAGCCGTGAGACCGGATGCATCCTTAAAGTTTAGCGAAATTGCCAAATCCGCGGCTATGGAGGACGATTTCACCGGTTCCAATAGTTGCTGCAAGAATCGGTCCCATGAGGAAACAGCATGCTGCAGAAGCTCCGTCGAAGCCTCCTTCTTCGGGCCTGAACCCAAAACACTTCCTTGGCCGTCACCTTGAAGGTATGCTGCCAAGCTTGCCTGAAAGGCTTTGTGGAGCATGAGTTGCGCAGGTTGGTTTGCCTTGGCTTGGGCTTTCTGCAGAATCTGCAGATGCTGCAGGACTGTGAGGTAGGCGGTGTGTGGCAGAGCTGACAAGGTAGCACACCAGCGCTTGAGGACCGATTCCTGGAAAGGTCGAGCTCCTCCAAAAATGAGCCTCATGACCAGCTGCTGGGCAACTGCTGGCACGGCTTCCCTGAAAATGACACGAACCGACTGGGAGTGGGCATACAACAAGTCAACCTCTGCCTTGCCCAGCTCAGACACGTACTCAAACAAGGTCTTGCCGACATGGCTCAAGGAGCTCAGCACGCTGTCTGTGACGGCAGTCGAGCTGCACGGAAGGCCTGAAACCTGCGAAGTGGCGGCAGCCATGGGCTAAGGCAAATCATGCTGGACTCTAAGTAAATTGTGACAGAGAGTGGTCAAAACGGCTTAGGCTTGCAAATCTTGCACTAAGCAATTCTAGACCGACTCATCCACCTTTCCGTCATGAGAACCTGTTGCAGGTGCGGCTTGATCCATAGTTGCAAAGACAATGCAAAGAGTGCGTCTGGCAACATATTCCCCGCTCAAGCTCATTCTGGCCTGAGCACGATGATGGCCCAGCTGTCTTCCTTGTCCTGCCACGCCCCGATGCAGCAATTGCTATGACGTCGTGACGCCACGTTTTTGAGGCCCAGTCCCGGACGGCCAGCTGCCAACAACTCCAGGCTGCTAGGTCCTTAACAAAGTCAACATCCTTGCCGTTCAGCTCACCCTGAACGCTTCGTCTACCCTTGGCTCCCAGCATTGGCAAGATTCCTCGGAGAACAGCCACACGCCACTCTGTACTAGCATGATATGGTCTGAGGTCCCATCATTTTCTTGGTGTATGGACAGTTCTGGAGAACCAGCGAGTCCCACGACCTAGCACAGCCACCACCCCAGACTCAAAAGCAACATCACCACCTCCTTTTGACCGCCGCTCGGGGCTGTGCTTGAGCAAAGGTGCTTTGCACTCCATTGCCACCCAGCGTACATGCTCGCGGCCAAGATGGGTCAACTCCGACAAGGGAATCCTCAGGATTGCGACGATTGAAGCCGGTGAAGTTCTTTCTTTTAGGCTCCCGCGGGTCAACAACATTGACATAAAGCTCCACATTTCCTACGGTGGCGCAGCAGCTGCAACTATCCAACATGTTGCTCTGTACCTTTCTGCCAAGCTGTTCTGGCCTTGTTGCCATGTCCAACCCCACGACCTGACAGCAGGAACACACATCTGAGATCCAACATGCCCACGATCTGCCTTGCCTCTCCCCCAAGTTAAGATCTCCAACCGGCGTGCTGAAGTGCCCAGTGGAGACCTTGAAAACTCTGGACTGCAGATCGCATTGAACTCTAATGGCTCCCGGGCTTTTGAAATTGCGCTGGGCACCTCCTTGAAGCTTTGCCTCCACGAGGGTGACACTTCCATGCGCTGGGGGGGTGAGACGCCCCCGCCGAATGAAGAAGGTGTAGCCACAAAACTCGACTGACTTGAAGCCCTTTGGAGGCCCAACTCCTGACGTCAAAATGGGGTTCAGGATGATTCATTGACCCGCACAGCGACACAGCGCTGCACGGAGCTTCAGGGCTCTGCACTGAGCTGCTGACGGCTGGGCGCAGGGCTTGTGGCCAGGCTGTGCTGGAAGCACGGTAACGATTCGAGAGTCCCCAACTCTTGCAGGCAATCCTTAACTCAGCCACTCTGACAAAGCCGGGAACCAACTTCTCAGGGCCAGGCTGATACATAGTTCGTAAAAATCTGGGACAACAATGCATCCCGGTTGTCTGTGTCTAGGATGAACTGAGAAGGGGCACCCTGCATCAGCGCACAGGAGCTTTGACAAGGGACCACTGCTAGCCGCTCTGTAACCGTAGCCAGCCTTTGGCCGCTTCTCATTCAAAGCTATCAGGAACCGTGACCTATCGGAGCCAGTTGTGTCTGGTGGTCCACTACTGCCAACCACAAAACCTGCTGCTGGTGTCTTGCACAATCTTCTCCATCCAAACGTAGTCCAACTGACCATTGAACGCCTTCAGGCGATGGGACCTTGGTTCTATCCCAGAAACGTGCAAACTTTGAAAACAGGTTCTGAGTCAAGGGCATGCTCGATCGCAGCAAATATACGCAGGACCTTCATGAAGACACTTTGAGGTCCATGCATGCATGCATTTGCGCTGGAAACACATTCAGGCAGGCGCTGTCCGACACAGAAATAAGCCTTTTTGGGAATGCCAAACTTGGGCCCTGACAGGCTTCTGACAAAAAACAACAAGTCAGAACCATTGCTGCAAAGGAAACCTGCAGCGGAGACTGGTGAAGCTCCAGCATCTTCCAGAGCGTCATCTTCAACCTCTTCCTGTGATCTGCTCCAATTGCACATTCTGCCAGGAGTCCCAAGCGCAACTAATGAAGTCCTGGAACTGCAGGCTGACCAAATCGACGTAAACAATCTTTGCGCCGCATCTCCGTGCACAAGCCTCATGAACGTCATACGGCGAAATCAAGTCTCTACAGACAGCCTTGGTGCCTGTAACAGATGCGCATCCAATGACATCAGTCTTGGCCCATGTCACCAACATTCAGCATCTACAGAAGATTGCAACAAACAAAACGCACGTAATGAGGCATGTCTGAGACGAGAATCTAGTGCACATGGGGAGTTGTCTTTTGCAAAGCTTTGTGAGCATGCGCATGAGGGTAGAGTAAAACAACTCAGGTTGCTTGAGAACCGTTTTACCTTCGAGCCGCGCGCAAACCAACAGGCAGGGACGAAGACTGCTTCTTCAAGGCAAAGAACAACGGAAAACGTAAGCTTTGATGACTCGAATGTGAATGCAGCTTGATTTGGCTTGCTCGCATGAGCTCCGGCCTTGAGCTCTGAAAACTGTGGAGAAAGAAAGCGCTGAACTTTCCGATATTCAGCACATGCACCCGGTCTTTTCCGAGGCGGATCTGTCAAAGCACGTCTGTTGCACCACAGGCTCTCGGGCCTTGACCTCACATCTTCCTAAGCACGCAAGCCTAGAAACACCAACAACGAACCATGCCTGCACAGTGCAGGCACAAGAAAGACTCACACATGGGGCATTGTTGATATTGCATGCCTGCCACGATTACATTAACTGAGCGTTTCAACGTCAACGTTCATCTTGTTACCTCGCAACCACAACCAATTAGAAGCACAACACGACAAGTTTTTATTGGAGCTGGGCATCCGCATTGCTCATCCGATGTAATGGGCGAATAGAGTACATGGTAGATGATTCGCACACGGAACCTCAACCAGAAACGACGCATTGCACGCAAGCTTGTGACAGGCCGTCTTGTTTGGACCAGGGGGAAATAACGGCTCCGAGGCGGGGCAAATTGAACATGCGACCTGGCAGCAAACAACACTCATGCCCATTGGGGCAGACCCACAGTTCCAACATAGAAGGTACGGTCAAAGGCTGAAGGGCCCTCGCCAAGCGAAAATTTGGGATCGGGCCCACCCCCAATCCTGAAACACGAGCAAAACAGCTCATCTAGCATTGTGCGCTTCATGCATGTTGGTTTGGAATTGACGGGTTTCTCTGCCTTTCGATTTGATCCTTTCCGCAATTGGATTTGACTCTGTGCCCCTGCGTGCATGTCCAAGCGTCTGAGTGCCAAGACCTCACGAAATGCAACACAAGTGCGCTCCGGAAGGCCGTAATTAGTCCTGCTCAGATTGAGTGGGGCCTGTGGGGGGCGCAACCAATCGCCGGACAAACCGGGCTCTCTCTGAAAGAACAGGGGCTGGAGAGCAAACCATCAAAGGCCGGCGGCGACAAACCGCAAAACCCAAGAAACACGCTGTAGGCATCATGGTGTGCGGCGCTCATCATGGGCCGGCACTGGGTGATCCTGACAGAAAATGCAACTGGACAGCAGCGGCTGCAACGGCATTTTTCATTTTTAATCGAAGCCAAACATACATGAACTGGGGGCTTGGGCTGAAAGTTGTTTTAACCTATTTGGATTGGAAATGACCCTCGCAAACTCAATCATCCGCCCGCCATGGCAAGCAAGCATCCTTGATCCGTGCAGATTGCCTCTGCCTCAAAAAAAACCACCGCCACAAATTGCAAGCCAACGCAACGCTCAGACTCCTTGACAGCGATTTGCCAAGCAACTCCCGAAGGATGTTTCGATGCTATGGACCTCGACCTCGATCCCAATGTGCCACGCGCCCATTGCGGCACATACGAGGTACTTGTACTACAGTTATACATGCACCACGGTGCTCTGGCCCAAGCCCTTATGTACAACCCCAGGCCGCAGCTAAGGTGCGCAAACAGGCACGCCACGCCACGCCAACAAACGAAGCGACGAAATGGATCACAGAAGAAAGTCCGCCCACTGCAACGACTGAGCATCTATGATGCGCAGCATCACCGGGAACCCGTCCTCATAGTTGACACACAGCAAAACATTCTAATGGGTTGCTTAACTTTTGCAATCGCTGATTGTGCAAGCCTTGGATTGTGCAACTCTTGGACCCCCCTGACAACTGGAATTTACCAATCGCTTTGTGGCTCGTAATTGCTGAGCGCCTTCCTCTTACGCGCTCATGTACGAGACAGGCAAGGCAACACACTTTTCACATCTAAATACACAGGCCGCGTGCTAGTTCTGCCTCGGCAGACGAGAGGGCAACTACAGATTGGAGCCTACTGTACCCTTTTACGCAGTACCAGGAGGATCCGACGACCATGTAGGTAACCCCTCCGCTAGTGTTTTTCCTACCTGTGCTCTTCTCGCTGGCCCACTCACTATCGCAAAAAGCAACCAACGCGGCGCCAACGTGAAGCCATCCCCACAAGGAAAAACCTGACCAAGCAGCGGACAACTAACAAGCCACCGGAGGAACTTCCGAAGAGCTTCCTCGTGAATCTGTTTTGGGATGCTTTGCCCTCTTGAGAGCATTGAATGGAAGTACGTTACGTCTGTTCACGTTTGCGTGAGCCATCCTATCTTGCCTAGGCATGACCTATACCGGCCAGCTGCCTCCGCCGACAAAGCCTTCGTAGGCTGCTCCAGGTCTTCTGCATCGTATATAGCCCGGATGTCCGGGGTCGTCGCTGACGGTTTGACCTTTTCTAAGTCTTTCTCTGTCCACCCGAAGGCGGTAAACACCGAACGAACGTACTCCGGCTTCACTCCTACTGCGATATTGTTCCCATCGAGCTTGATCAGGCGGCCGAAAAACTCTAATTCCCCATCCTCCTGCGGTCGACCGGTAACTTTGACCTTCAAACTCAGGGCTTTGCGGATAAACTCAACACCGCTCTGGCTAGTCGAAGTTATAAGAAGATCATTTACGTAAGCTAATGCAAGTACATATTCCCACTTCGAGT